GGAAATGCTTTCCCACAGCTGTGTAACTGTTCTAAATGGCTTTGATAATGCTCACACATCTTGGAAGTTTCAGAAGGAAACTTTTCTGCATCACAAATACCAAATTTTGTATTTCTAAATTACTATAAGTCATTTAATATTGGTTTATGGTGCTTTTTTCCCCTTAACTTGAAAACATCTTTCTGAGATTTCAGGGTCCTCAAATTTCATAGATTAAGAGACAAGAAGCCAGCATGGTGGCTCACACCTGTATTCCGAGCACTTTGGGAGGCCAAGGTGGGTGCATCACTTGAGGTTAGTAGTTCGAGACCAGCTGGCCAACATGGTGAAACCATGTCTCTACTAAGATACAAAAACTAGCTGGGAGTGGTGGCAAGCACCTGTGATCTCAGCTACTCAAGAGGCTGAGGCAGGAGAATCGCTTGAACTTGGGAGGTGGAGGTTGTAATGAGCCAAGATTGTGCCGCTGCACTCCAGCCTGGGAGACAAAGCAAGACTCCTTCTCAAAAAAAAAAGGACAAGAAAATAGAGTGATGCTTTTTTACTGTATATACATAAAATACGTCTGAAAATTAGAAGATAATTTGGCATTCTTGCCAATTATTTCATTGGAAGTACAGTTTCACTGTACTTCCATTGAAATATTCTCTCCATTAAAATAGTCTAAAAGAATATAGTAATAATGGAATTGTGATCTTCAGTCACAACTTAACCATTTTTTTGGCTTATCAACTAAATTTCTAACATTAACATTTTGGCATGTAATAAAACAAGGGCCTGACTCCTTTAAAATTTAACATTCCATATAACTTTTCTGACTTCTTCATAAGTTGCAAATATTACTATTTTCCTAAACCAGGGTACACAATTTAAGTTGCCACTGATTGATGACAGAATTTTTGGATAATAGGATTTTAATAGACAAGCAAATAAAATTAAATCAATTTCAAGGAAAAACATCTGGTATTTCAAGGTAGCTTGAAATTTCAAATTCCAAGGTAGCATGCTCTTGCCCCAAAAAATGCTGAAGACTAATCCATTGACATTCATAATGGGACAGCTAAATACCAAATAGCTAACTACTCCCTATGGAGATTTATGCAAGCAGAGTACCAGGGGTTCCATCATTTCAACCTGGCAATGCACTTGGTGGTTGTGTGACCTTGAGAAAGTCTCTTACTGTTGTTTGTACTTCCTACTTTAGAAACTGAGACTTTATTTGTGGTTTTCCCACTATGTCAGCAGCAAAAACTTTTTTTTTTTCAAGGAAAATCTTAGAGAACCCTTAAACACACATGCATACACACACATCCTACCCCCCCATATAAAAGTCATATTTTATTATAAATTTCCTTATTTATTAAATAAACTTTGTATACTATAAATATAAGTCAACCAATAAAAACACATTAATGTGTTGGTAATAGCCAGTATGTTTGAATTTAATGAGTAACACACTTGTATAATGGGAGTTGTTTTTAAAAAAAAAAAAAAAAAAAAAATGTAATTCAAGTCAAATTTGCAGAACCCTGTATCTCCTCTATAGATTCTTAGTATTCCATGGAACATATTTTGAAAACCTTGGGATAGATAATCCACTGGGATCTTTTCCAGCTCAAAGATTTTAAATTGTCCTTTTGGATTAGACTTGATGAGTTTAATTCAGATTGCCTCATTTTAAAATGTTTCTGAAACATGAACAAAGTTACCTTACAGAGTTTTGCATCTTTCCAGGGATAGCCAATGATTTTATCACCCAGAACCCTTCACCTTTCAAGGAATTATTTAACAATGAGACCAGTGACTCAACAGGGCCCAAACCTTATTATTTTACAATATGAGCTCCAAGACACTTACTGATCTACTGTGAATATAAAATATTATTAGCCTTATCAAATATCCAATAAATGAGCACAGCTGTTTGTTTGCTGTATTAAACTGGGTGATAATTCTTTAGATGTGACTGTTAGGTTCTACTGTAATAACTAACGTAAAAGTTGTAAATTTGTTTGATGGATGAAATGTACACTTTTTGTATTCTGTACAGCTTTGTCTTTTTAAAATATGAAGTACTTAAAAGTACTTACTATAATAGGAAATATAATGTGTGCCTTCTAGGATTTGTGAAGTGGTTTCATGAACTCTACAGAATTTGTTTTATAAGTTAAAAGTTTTCCCTATCCTAACTCAGTAACAGAGGGTTTACTCTTATTACGTATAGAACCTTAGTTTGAGAAAATGAATTTGACTATGTACTGAATTTAGAGGTTGAGAATAATAGTATCTGTGTTATTCTTAGGACCACTGATAAATTATGCAATAAATAATCTTTCGCAAGTAATTTTAACTAATTGAAGAGATTCTTTTCTTATGTAATTTCACATTCTAATATACCAAATGATTCTATTCCTTAGAGGACTATTTTATATTATGCTCTTGGGATTTGTGGTGTTTGTGTGCCATTTTAAAATTCATTTCAAATTGGACTCGATTTCCTTATGTCTAATACATACCTGGGAGAAAGGCTGCTTGAAAATATCTTTTGATTCAGTAATTTTCAACATTGGGAAGCTGAATTTATTAAAAGATAGTCTGAATAATTTGCATTTTTAACTGTTATTGTCTTAAGCTTACTTTGTCTAACCAGGAATAAGAAAACTACTTGGAGATGGCCAGACGCAGTGGCTCACGCCTGTAATCACAGCACTTTGGGAGGCCGAGGCAGGCAGATCACGAGGTCAGGAGTTCGAGACCAGCTTGGCCAACATGGTGAAACCCCTTCTCTACTAAAAATACAAAAATTAGCCTGGTGTGGTGGTGCATGCCTGTAATCCTAGCTACTCAGAGGCTAAGGCAGAAGAATCTCTTGAACCCAGGAGGCGGAGGTTGCAGTGAGCTGGGGTTTCAGTGAGCTGGAATTACACCACTGCACTCTAGCCTGGGGGACAGAGCAAGACTCCGTCTCAGGCAAAAAAAGAAAAAAAACCTACTTGGAGATTAGGAAAGTCAGCAGGTCACTCACATTTATGCTGGGCAACACAATGACAGTATCATATAAACATAAGCAGCTGACAGTAGACTTATTTTTTCTTATGTCTTTTTACCCTGCTGCAGTGGTTCGCAATCTTTTTGGCACCAGGGACTGCTTTCATGGAAGACCATTTTTCCACAGACCTGGGGTGGTATGGGCATAGTTTCAGGATGAAACTGTTCCACCTCAGATCATCAGGCATTAGCTAGAGTCTCATAATCTGCATGAGACTAGATCCCTTGTATGCGCAGTTCACAATAGAGTTCACGCTCCTTGAGAATTTAATACTGCCACTGATCTGACAGGAGGTGGAGCTTAGGCTGTAATGCTCACTCGCCCACCACTCAACTCCCGCTGTGTGGCCAGGTCCCTAACAAGTGGCAGACGGTACTGTCCACAGCCCAGGGGTTGTGGACCCCTACCGCAACAGACAGTAAAAATAAGAAAATACTCAACCCTATTGTAGTTTGTTTACCTTGTAAAATCATTTCCAAAATATAAGAATGTAATTTGAGAAGCATTGTAGAATCTTAGTGCTGAAAAGTGCAAAGACATAAGAATGAATGACAGTTGGTAGTTAATTTGCTGATACCATACTGTGGAGAAATTCACATTTTACTGAAAAGACATAAAAGCCTTTGCAGAGATAGGTTTTGATAATCTTGTACTTTATAGTCTAAAATTTCCAAGGAAGTATGTGTGTCTGGTTAGTGTTCTTTTTATTAGAATTAGTTACACTTGTTCTTTATAATGGTCATAGTTCAGTCATAGAATATTTGGATATATCACCTTCAGTCGTGTCTCAAACCCAGGAAATGAAGAATATTGTTTCACCAACACTCAGAAGAGAAAGCAAGAGAGATGTGCCTTCAGCTGTTTTCTAATCCATGAGGCCATGATAAATATCAACCCAGGAGCTGTGATTTGTTTTCACTAGGCAAAGAGCAATGATGTCGATCGTTTCAGCGATACAATTTGAAGTAACACGTAAAGTGAACTTGAGCCCTTATGGGTAAGTAAGGGATAACATGCCTCAAAACCTGTTCCTTTAGAAATCTGAGCCAATATACAATTAATTGCCATTTATTCCAATTGCAAACGCAAAAGAAAGTAGGGATTTGTTCCCCAAAAGGCCAATTAAGTATAACAATGTAATAAAAGCACAAAGTACTATAGAAAAGATGTCTGAAAAGCTTGCAGGACAGGTAAAATCCAATAGGTGTTAGCTGGACAGACTAAAATAATATCCCAGGAAGAGAAAATGAACATGTATAGCTTTGCTTATGAACTATAACAGGATAGGAGTTAGAGAAAATGATAGCAAAGATGTATCTTCTGGGTCTAGTGAGCTTCAGTTTGAAAATTTTGTGTTTTCCTAGCGAATGTCATTCATGTCTGAGTCTTAGTAAAAGATAAATTAGCTGTTATTATTGATAGCTTTTCATGGTGCCCAATCTTAGAGTAAAAAAAACTTTAAACATTTGTTTTAAATATGATTATCTTGAAATAGTTTTAAATATTTGAGCCACAGTCCTAACAGATTTTATTTAACAATTTAAAAAAAGATACCTGATACAGATAAAATGACAATGAGAAACTACACAATATTTCCTATGTTAGGGCAAATGTTTACAAATGGGGGGCTTTTCAAAAATAATCCCTAATATAACAATGGATTTTTATTCAATTTCATAATTAGCTGCAAGATAGTATATATATTTGCCTAGTAAAAATACTGTGTTTATAGTTCCATATGCTAAATTCACCAGTGGAGGAGACAGGCATAAAGTCACAAGAGGAGATAATCTAAAGTCAAATAAGTTCACAGGCAGAAATAGGGTTCTTCTAACTATAATGATTCAAAAAGGCCTCTTGTAGTCTGAATTTGACTGCAGGAACAGGCTATAGTTGAGCAGCCTCTTGAGTACTAAGAGCACATGTCCTTAAAATATTGCCAAAAGAAATTAACTTATTGAATATGTATTCATTGAGCACCTGCTACATACCAGGCACTAGTAACACAGAATAAGAGTACATTGGTAAAGCTTAATTCAGATTGATCTTTTAAAATGCTTTCTACTTGGCCCCTGGGACCATTGTATCTTCTAAAGTCATCATAGTAGGTAAGGGGAAAATTTTGCCTTAAAAAAAATGCACCAGATTATGTTGATGAAAGAACACACACACAACTAACATTTGTGAGGTCTAATGGAATAGTGGGGAAAGGACAGGATTTGGAATAAGGAAACCCAGTAGTAGGCCTATTATTACTTATTAGCTGTGCAACCTTAAGTAAATTTCACTTCTCCCACCTCTTAATTGGTGAAGTGATAATTGGCCTGCAGTCATAGAGTATTAGAGCCAAAAGGAACAGAGATCATCCATCTAGTCCTGTGTTTTTCGGAGTTCTTCATTCAAGTGAAAATGTTATGTAGCAGTTGCAGTGTAAAACTAATGAATGCAGAGTCCCTTTGACAGCCCCTGAATGTCACTCCCTTTCCTCCCCCACTCTAAAGTATTCATGAGGGGATTCACAGAACACCCTGAAAGCCACTCATCTAGTCCAAACCCTCACTTTGTAGGTGAAGAAACCAAGACTCAGAATAGGAGTGGCTGTTTTAATGAGTACATTTGGCTTCCAACTAGAAAGCGGGGAGGAGGGCTAAATAAAACGGTTTAAGAACTTCACTAAAAACACAAATTGTCAAGAAGGAAGTCTTCCATTTTAACTTCCACAAAGTAGCCTGTTTATGAAATGGAGCTTTGAAATTGATTGTGTTTAAGGCGGCCAGCCATCCAGAGGCTGAAATGAAAAACTATCATCAATTAGCCTATTTGGGCCAATGGAGAAAAGTATGGCAGAAAACCACACAGACCTCATGTCACTTGGCATCTGACCATGGAAAATCCTGGCCCCAACAGTTCAAGCACTGGCAGTTTCAAGAGAAATACTTGAAAAATTAAGAACAAGTATAGACAATTGCCCAGCTCCCAGATCCCCAAAGGAGAAGTCGCCATCTTGTTACTCAGAAATACTAACAAACGTGAGCATGTTAATTCTTAAAGTGAGCAGTGCAACCAAAATCATCAGTTTGAAATTTCTTCAGAGGCATCCTCTTCAAAGAGGAAAGTCCTAGTTTGGAATCTTGACCACTGTTAGCCACAGCAGACTTGAAATTAAACCAAAAAGTTAAAATGCATGTCAAATGCTGGAGCTATTTGGTCAAGGCAGTGATCTCTTCTGATTTCATGGCATCAGACAGGTAGCTGAGCTCATTGCATAAGGTCTCATATCGGAATGCCATCCGGATCTGAGCAACATTTGTCTTTCGAATATCATTTCCTTCAGGTCCTTCTTTATAATAATTTTGTCCCAGAAACTTTTGCTTTTCCTGTGGACCAAGAGAAATACAAATGAAACAATATACTTTTGATTCACTTTCTATAGCCACATGGGCAGCTTTGACATCAGTCACAGCAAATCAGACTAGTCTCCCTGAAGCTGATCTTCAGTCAGGACATCTTATCTCCACAGGACTCATAAAATTCCTCCTGGCCTCCGTGTCCTCAAGGATGTCACCCTTACAACCTCAGTCATCCTCAGACTGCCCTTCATTCCTGGCTGTGCTTTCCTTGATCAGAGAGAAAAGATGATAAGGTCTGCAGCAGCTGCTGGGGATGGGGAAGGAGGTAAGCTTTAATTAAGAAGTCCCTCCAGAGAGCCGACAAGGACAGTGTTTCTGGGGAGAGCCAATCCAAGGAACCATACTGCACATGAAAAGAATCTTAAGCCTGGGGAGGGAGTCCAGATGGCCGAATAGACACAACTCCAGCACACAACACCCAGGGAGAGAGATGCAGAAATTGAGAGATCTCCTAGTTCCAAGGAACCAGGTGCATTTCAACAGGTCTGGTCAGACAGTAAGCAAAGCCCAGGCAGGGCAGACCAAGGCGGGGAGGGGTGCCACTTCACCCAGAAAGTACAACTGACCAGTGAGTCAGAGGCTCCCTCTCTGGCACTCCAGTCCAGATACAGCACTTCCCCCAAAGCCTCAGCAATACACAGAACAGGGGATCTTTGCCAGTCAAGCACCAGGAATTACAAGCGCAGAGTTGAATAATCAGGATATTGTCCGGATTGGCGCACAGATCTAAGCAAACACATAAGCCCATAAGCTGGCTAGCAGAGGCCTGTGGACTGAGCTAGTGCCCCCTCCCCCTGCCCAGAGAGACAGGGAACTGAAACCAGGAAGACAGATGGTGCTGCTGGGTGGGTCCCTACCCTCCCTGAAAAACCCAAGGGCTGAAGCACTAACTCTAGTGGATTAGGCAGCCAGTTCTTCAGTCTGAGCTGAACCCTGAATGATCCAGCCCTTTGGAGGAAAGACACAAGCCACCATTAAAGGAGTGGGACTAGGTATCATGTTTTAACAAAAAACACAGGAAGCCTACATAGCAGTGGGATGGTGTTCTTGACCACCTAGCAGCATCTCCAGGTCAGTGGAACACACAGACCTAACCTCCCAGTGTAAACAAAAGACACAGGAAGCTTACCTAGTAACCTGAAGGAGTCCCTAGAAACCCAGCAGTGCCTCGACAGGCAGACAAGCAACCTCATCAAGCAGCTCCCTGAGATTACAGCCAGGTAAACCCACAAAGATGGGGAAAAAAAGGACAAAAAAGATGAAACCATCAAAGACCAGAACACCTCTTCTCCTTCAAGGGATCACAGCTCCTCAACAACATGGGAACACAACATGATCAAGAAAGAATGTGATGAATTTACAGAAACAGACTTCAGAAGGTGGATAATAACTTTTCTGAGCTAAAGGAACACATTCTAACTCAATGCAAAGAAACCAAAACCTTGAAAAAAGGTTAGATGAAATGCTAACTAGAATAACCAGCTTAGAGAAGAACATAAACGACTTGATGGAGTTGAAAAACACAGTACAAGAACTACGTGAAACAAACACAAGTTTTAATAGCCAGATTGATCAAGCAGAAGAAAGAATATCAGAGATTGAAGAACAACTCAATGAAATAAAGCGAGAAGACAAGACGAGAGAAAAAGAGTGAAAAGAAATGAACAAAGCCTTCAACAAATACGGGATTATGTGAAAAGACCTAATCTATGCTTGATCATTGTACCTGAATATGACGGGAAGAATGAACCCAAGCTGGAAAACACACTCCAGGATATTATACAGGAGAAATTCCCAAGCCTAGCAAGGCAGTCCAACATTCAAATCCAAGAAATACAGAGAAGTCCACAAAGATATTCCTCAAGAAGAGCAACCCAAAGGCACATAATAATCGTCAGATTCACCAGGGTTGAAATGAAGAAAAAATGCTAAGGGCAGCCAGAGAGAAAGATTAGGTCACCCACAGAGGGAGGCCAATCAGACTCACAGCGGATCTCTCAGCAGAAACCCTGCAAGCCAGAAGAGAGTGGGGCCAATATTCAACATCCTTAAAGAAAAGAACTTTCAACCCAGAATCTCATATCCAACCAATCTAAGCTTCATAAGTGAAGAAGAAACCAAATTGTTTACAGACAAGCAATTACTGAGAGATTTTGTCACCACCAGACCTGCCCTACAAGAGCTCCTGAAAGAAACACGAAGCACAGAAAGGAACAGGTACCAGCCACTGCAAAAGCACACCAAGTGACAAAGACCAAAAATGCAATGAAGAAAAATGAGTCAACTAATGGCCAAGAAAACCAGCCAGTAACAAAATGGCAGGATCAAATTCACATAACAATATTAACATTGAATGTAGATGGCCTAAACGCCCCAATCAAAAGACACAGACTAGCAAACTGGGTAAAAAGTCAAGACCCATCAGTGTGCTGTATTCAGGAAACCCATCTCACATACAAAGACACACATAGACTCAAAATAAAGGGATGATTTACCAAGCAAATGGAGATTAAAAAAAAAAAGCAGGGGTTGCAATCCTAGTCTCATAAAACTGACTTCAAACCAACAAAGATCAAAAGAGACAAAGAAGGGCATTACATAATGGTAAAAGGATCAATCTAATAAGAATAGCTAACTATCCTAAATACGAACCCAACACAGGAGCACCCAGATGTATAAAGCAAGTTCTTAACAACCTAAAACGAGATTTAGACTCCCATACAATAATAGTGGGAGACTTCAACACTCTACTGTCTATACGAGACAGATCAACAAGACAGAAAATTAACAAGGACATCCAGGACTTGAATGCAGAGCTAGACCAAGTGGACCTAATAGACATATACAGGACGCTGCGTCCCAAATCCACAGAATATACATTTTTCTCAGCACCACATTGCACTTACTCTAAAATTGACCACATAATTGGAAGCAAATCACTCCTCAGCAAATGCAAAAGAATGGAAATCATAACAAAAAGTCTATCAGACCACAGTGCAATCAGATTAGAACTCAGGATTAAGAAACACACTCAAATCTGCATAACCACTTGGAAACTGAACAACTTGCCTCTGAGTGTTGACTGGATAAACAATGAAGTGAAGGCAAAAATAAAGGTGTTCTTCGAAACCAATCAGAATGAAGACACAACTTACCAGAATCTCTGGGACACCTTTAAAGCAATGTCAAGAGGGAAATTTATAGCAGTAAATGCCCACATGAGAAACAAGGAAAGATCTAAAATTGACACCCTATCATCAAAATTGAAAGGGCTAGAAGAGGAAGATCAAAAAAACTAAAAAGCTAGCAGAAGACAAGAAATAACCAAGATCAGAGCTGAACTGAAGGAGACAGAGACACAAAAAAACCCTTCAAAAAAGCAATAAATCCAGGAGCTGGTTTTTTCAAAAGATCAACAAAATAAACCGCTAGCCAGACTAATAAAAAAGAAAAGAGAGAAGAATCAAATAGATGTAATTAAAAAAGATGAAGCGGATATCACCACTGATCCCAAAGAAATACAGACTACCATCAGAGATTACTACAAACAGCTCTATACACATAAACCAGTAAACAAGGAAGAAATGAATAAATTCCTGGACAAGTGTACTCTACCAAGACTAAACCAGGAGGAAGTCGAAACCCTGATGAGACCAATAACAAGGGCTGAAGTTGAGGCAGCAATAAATAGCCTACCAGCCAAAAAAAGTCCAGGTCCAAATGGGTTCACAGCTGAATTCTACCAGACGTACAAAGAGGAGCTGGTTCCATTCCTTCTGAAACTATATCAAACAATACAAAAAGAGGGAATCCTCCCTAACTCATTTTATGAGACCAACATCGTCCTGATACCAAAACCAGGCAGAGACTCAACTAAAAAAGAAAACTTCAGGCCTATATCCATGATGAACATCGCCACAAAAAATCTTCAATAAAATACTGGCAAACCGAATGCAACAGCACATCAAAAAGCTTACTCATCACGATCAAGTAAGGTTCATCGCAGGGAAGCAAGGCTGGTTCAACACACACAAGTCCATAAACAATCCATCACATAAACGGAACCAAAGACAAAAACCACATCATTATCTCAATTGATGCAGAGAAGGCCTTCGACAAAATTCAACAGCTCTTCATGCTAAAAACTCTCAGTAAACTAGGTATTGATGGAACATATCATAAAATGATAAAAGCGATTTATGACAAACCTATAACCAATATTGTACTGAACAGGCAAAAGCTAGAAGAATTCCCTTTGAAATCAGGCACTAGACATGGATGCCCTCTCTCACCACTCCTATTCAATATAGTATGGGAAGTTCTAGCCAGAGCAATCAGGCAAGAAAAAGAAATAAAGGGTATTCAATTAGGAAAGGAGGAAGTCAAACAGTCTCTATTTGCAGATGACATGATTGTGTATTTAGAAGACCCCATTGTCTCAGCCCAAAATCTTCTCAAACTGATAAGCAACTTCAGCAAAGTCTCAGGATACAAAATCAATGTGCAGAAATCACAAGCATTCCTTATATACCAATAACAGACAAACAGCCAAATCAAGAGCAAACTCCCATTCACAATTGCTACAAAGAGAATAAAATACCTAGGAATACAACTAACAATTTAAAGGATCTCTTCAAAGAGAACTACAAACCACTGCTCAATGAAATAAGAGAGGACACAAACAGATGGAAAAACATTCCATGCTTATGTTTAGGAAGAATCAATATCGTGAAAATGGCCATACTGCCCAAAGTAATTTATAGATTCAATGCCATCCCCATCAAGCTACCCATGACCTTCACAGAACTGGAAAAAAACCACTTTAAACTTCATATGGAATCATAAGAGAGCCTGCATAGCCAAGACAATCCTAAGCAAAAAGAACAAAGCCAGAGGCATCACACTGCCGGACTTCAAACTATACTACAAGGCTACAGTAATCAAAACAGCATGGTACTGGTACCAAAACAGAGACATAGACCAATGGAACAGAACAGAGGCCTCAGAAGCAACACCACACATCTACAAGCATCTGATCTTTGACAAACCTGACAAAAAACAAGCAATGGGGGAAAGGACTCCATGTTTAATAAATGATGTTGGGAAAACTGGCTAGCAATGTGTAGAAAGCAGAAACTGGACCCCTTCCTGTCACCTTACACTAAAATTAACTCCAGATGGATTAAAGATTTAAATATAAAACTTAACACAATAAAAACACTAGAAGAAAACGTAAGCAAAACAAGCCAGGACACAGGCATAGGCAAGGACTTCATAACTAAAACATCAAAAGCAATGGCAACAAAAGCCAAGATAGACAAATGGGATCTAATTAAACTCCAGAGTTTCTGCACAGCAAAAGAAACCATCATTAGAGCGAACCAGCAACCAACAGAATGGGAAAAAAATTTTGCAGTCTACCTATCTGACAAAGGGCTGATATCCAGAATCTACAAAGAACTAAAACAGATATACAAGAGAAAACCAACCGACCCCATTCAAAAGTGGGCGAAAGGATATGAACAGGCACTTTTCAAAAGAAGACATATATGAGGCCAACAAACATGAAAAAATGCTCATCCTTACTGGTCATTAGAGAAATGCAAATCAAAACCACATTGAGATACCATCTCACGCCAGTTAGAATGGTGATCATTAAAAATATCTGGAGACAACAGATACCGGAGAGGATGTGGAGAAATAGGAACACTCTTACACAGTTGGTGGGAGTGTAAATTAGTTCAACCACTGTGGAAGACAGTGTGGCGATTTCTCAAGGATCTAGAAATAGAAATTCCATTTGACCCAGCAATCCCATTACTGGGTACATACCCAAAGAACTATAAATCATTCTACTATAAAGACACATGCACATGTATGTTAATTGCCACCCTTTGTACAATAGCAAAGACCTGGAACCAACCCAAATGCCCATCAGTGATAGACTGGACAAAGCAAATGTGGCACAACACACCATGGAATACCTAACTACCATAAAAAACGAGTTTGTGTCCTTTTTAGGGACTTGGATGAATCTGGAAACCATCATTCTCAGCAAACTGACACAAGAACAGAAAACCAAACACCACATGTTCTCACTTATAGGCAGTGTTGAACAATGAGAACACGTGGACTCAGGGAGAGGAGCATCACACACTGGGGGCAGTTGCAGGGGGGTAGGGGAGGGATAACATGGGGAGAAATGCTGGATATAGTATGCACCTATGCAACAACCCCGCATGACCCACACATGTACCCCAGAACCTAAAGTAAAATAAATAAAAATTATAAAGGAAAAAAAAAATCTTAAGCCTTTAACTCTGCTGCATCATCATCCAACAAGGGAAGCTCCTAATGCAACCTCTCCCCAACCAGTGACATCACCCAGGGAAGTGTCAGCAGACCTAAGATAAATCAGAACATGGGTCTCAGTGCTGCTAGTGCCATCTCAGAATTACAGGGCTTTTAAAAAAAATGACACATGTCTCGGTCCCATTGTCTAGGTTTTTATTCAGTCTAGATACTGTTCCCATCTATTCAAGAAATATTGAGCTCCTGCTCTGTGCCAGGGACTATCTAGGGCCCAGGGATATAATTTGAACAAGCCTCTGCCCTCACAGAGCTTATATTCTAGAGGGAAAGACAGAAGAACACATAACTAAATATTAGCAGGAATAAATGTTATGGAGAAAAACAGATTAAGGGGACAGAGAATAATAGCAAGTGTGTGGCTATTTTAGAATGGGCGATCAGGGAAGGCCTCTACGAGGAGCCGTAGAGGTCTGAAAAGGGTGAGGAAGCAGCCATCGAAATGCAGGAGGCTGCTGCATTTCCTCTCCCCATGCCTGAGTGTCAGAGGCCCTGCCTGCTGTGTTGTCACAGATCCCCAGTGCTTGGAAGGTGCCTGGCATATAGCAGGCAGCCTTCCCAGGAGAGAGACTTCCCAGGTGGCACCATCACACTGCATACCTGATGCGAGAGGCCACTCTGCAGCACGCTGTTCCTGGCGATCTCACACAGGTCGCACGTGCTCAGCTTCCACACTTGAGCTGCAATGGCGTATTCTTCCATAAGTGCTTCCTAGACCCTCCCCCAAAGCATGTGGATTAGACGGGAGAATATCCAAATCAACCCTTCACATATGTTCAAAGATAATATCAGACACTGCAGGTTTAACTTTTCCTCACTAAATAGCACCTGGATCATCAAATGTCACACCTTCAATGCCTAAGATCTTCCGTGAAATCATGGGTTATCAAAGATCTAAAATCACATCTCCAGATTTATTCATTGACCAGCACTGAGAGCTCATGTTGAAGCCCTGTACCAGTCACCAGGATGCCTGTCTCTGCTCTCCCGTGACAAGCCCTCTAGTCATGCCACTTTTAGCACTTGCTCTCTAGCAAGAAAACTCTATGAGACCACAGATTCTTGTCCATTTTGTTCATTAGTGTTCGGCACAGCAGGTGCTCACTGTGTATATTCAGTGAATGAATGAATGCCAGCAACAAGGTAAAATTATACAGAAAAAGCACTAACTGCAGCAAAGATAACTTCATGTCAATATAATAAGACTTGTGGAGTTACATGGCTAATAATATTGCCATATATAGATAAGGCAAAAACCCCTAGAAATAAAAAGAATTTTAAAAAATAAAAAAAAGAAAAATAAATGATCATAGGATAGGTGGTAAAATGGCGTACTCCCAGAAGGATCTGGGTTTGAGCTGTGGTTTTGCTTCCCTTCTGGGATGTGAAGTGTCTATTCATGAGCCCTCTATGACCTCTTCCCCACCCCACTGCTGCTGTAGCCTAGAGCAGTGGTTCTCAAAGTACAGGTCAAGACCCGCTGAAGGTCCTAAAACGTTTTGAAAGATCTTCTCTTTTCCAATTATGTATTTTCATGAAGCAAGATTTTCTATTTTTATATATTTTGACTAAACACAAATCAAATGCAGAAGTGGCTAGGAGAGTCCTGCTGACTTCCATTAAGGCATTAAAGAGGCTTAAAAATGCAAAACAAAGGCAGGGGGTACTGTTACTTTTCAGAAAAAAAAATTATTATGTAACATTTAATTGGTTTATTGATATAGTTTTTAAATAATATTTTAAATTTCTTATTCATTTCTAACATGTTAAATATCAGTAGATATAATCCACATAAACAACAGATCTTTGAGAACTTCAATTCTTAAGAGTATAAAAGGGTCCAGAGACCAAGAAGTTGGAGAACCACTGTCCTAAAAGACCCTGGTGCTTCTTTTTGTGGTAAACAATGGCTGGTCTCATCAACACCATCGAAACATGCTGGGTACAGTTGCGGCTGGTCCCATGCATGACACCACCTTTCCCTTCCTCTTCTTTTCCGAGACCCAACATGTAGAAATTGTAATAGCATTGATTTAAAAGGTATTTAGAAATATTTTGGATATATGCAGACACTACACTAGAACCTTTGATTCATTGTCTTCATGAATCCTCACAAGGTAGGGGTAGAGACAATTTAATCTCCATTTTACAGATGAAGAGGAACTTGATCCAGAGAGCTAATAACTTTACCAAGATCACAGAGCTCATAAATGTCAAAGAAAGGGAAAATAGAGGAAGGCAAAGATACTAATACTAAATTGTGCCTTTGAGGGTTCGAGAACCCCAAAGAGAGGGTTCCTGGAAGGCACAATTTTCTCCCACCAGTGACTTCCCTTCTGTCTTCACTGGGCCACCAGCCCCACTCCAAAAGCAGAACTGAGCCATGGGCTTAGGTCCCTGAAATGGGAAGACAGGCTAGGACTGATTCCTACTGAGGCACTACCATCCTCACCCCAAAGTCCTCACCTTCGTGTAGTGGAACTGCATGGGGTCATCGGTGGAAAGGGAAACGTGCAGTCCCTTGTGCAGGAATTCCCTCAGAGGGTTCTTGGAATATTCGAGAAACAAACTGTTGTTGCTAAGAGGAGACATGGCAATGGGGATCTGAGCAAGGTAGTAGAGATACTGCAATACCGGACTCTGCAAAAGAACCACCAAACTCATGTGACAAGTGCCAGAGAGAGAAGGGAAAAGGGAAGGGAGAAAAGGAGGGAAGAAGCATTCACCAGTGGAAACCAGGGATCTGAACAGTGTCTGCCCAAGTCCTCAACCTGAGTTCCTGGAAGCCAGAACACCCAGACACACATTCCTCTTCCTCACTGTTCATCTCATTTCTACATTGCATCCCTGGTGCCTCTACCCACTGTTGGAAGCACCCACTTTTGCTCCAAACTGGAGGCAAGGCTCAGGGCAGGAAGGGCAGCCCACCCCAGCCTTCACCTTCAGCTCCTTTCCCCTAGGCATGGACCCAGTCTAGAAGATGCCCCACTTTAATTGTTTTGTTGCTTTGACTGCAAACAGCCAGGTTGAGACTGAACACCCCAGCTCCTGGGAGATGAGCTCTGAAGGGACCTAAAGGGTGGACTTGCCCAGGATAGAGTGGTTTTCTACTGTAGCACCCACCCCCACCAAAAAAATGTGACCCATGGTTACACCTTGCCGGGAAGAGGGAAAGGGAGCATTTTGATTAAACGTCGTGCCACTGGAAAGTGATCCAAAATATGAAGAAGACTATATGCACAGAGCTCAAAGGTACACCATTGAAAAGGTGGATGGACTCTTGTGTTCAACTAGTGTGGACTTCTTGAGTCAATTACAAAGTGGCAGACCCTTCATCCAACAACAGCCTTTGGAAGGAAGAGCATAGACATTATGTTGCAGCATCAAAAAATGCTTATCATACAACAGGGACAAAGCAGCCATATTCGGTGTTCATTATGATAATAAACACATTAAAATATGCTCTGGATAAAATACAGAAATTGGATATACTAAAAAGTTAATAATGGCTATTTCTATTAACGTAATAGCAATAAGGGCTGGCTTTTTTTCATTTCTCCAATTTTTGGAAAATTGAAATTGTGATGAGTTTGATTATATTACTTTCATAATTTAAAATGAAACCAAGATAACGACAGACATCCCATCCCAGAAGACGGCCCAGCTTTCTGGCCTCACTGGCCAAGCCTCCCAGGAGCCCAGAGCAGGGCAGTTGCTGCAGGGCAGGCTCCCGAGAGTGACCTGGTTACCTTCTTGAGGAGCAGCCCGTGGGAAATGTTGTCAGCAGTAAGGAAGGCAGACACCAGGTGGGTGATGGAGCCGGCCTCCCCACAGTGCGGCCGGAACAGGAATGTGCTCAGGCCGCGCTCCCTGTAAGAGAAGAGAGCCCCTGATCAGGAAGAACCCCCCAGTTGGCTCTGCCTGGGGCCTGCAGCTTCAGCTCAGGGCCAGCTCCAGGGGGAATAACCACCCATGGTCAGCTGTGCTGACCCAGTGTACCCTGGAAACTACCCCTCCTAAAATGCAGAGGCCCAGGTCCCAGAGCCCCTTAGAACCAAGAAGCATCATCTCTAGGGGTAAAGAGTGGGCCTTGAAGTAGAAAGAGAACCTGCTGTGCCCTCCAGCCACTCTCCTATATTCCTCTCCCAGCCTTGTGTCCTGCATTCATAGAATTCCAGAGCAGGGAAGGCCATGAGAAACCAGAGTCTGACCTCTCTGTTACGAAAATGGGCAAACCAAGGCCCAGAGAGTGAAGTCTATGTTCCATGCAGGTCTTTGGCAAAGCCAGAACCAGAGCTACCATCTCCAAAAGCTCAGTCCAGGACTGCCTCCACCCCACCAGGCCATTTCTTTCTATCAGGGCCCCATTCTAAACCTCCACACCCACCAACTAGCACCGGTTTAGGCTCAGCTAGTGAGGCCCCAGGGCCCAGCAGGGGCAGGTGGGTTGCAAGACTTGTAGGGAAGGGAATGGCTCAATGTCCTACTGCCCTGGGTAGCCAACTCCTGGCTCTTGTCTGTGTGCATATTGGTGGGAACCTCTGCCTGTAAGACCTTTGCCTGTAAAGGGCATGTATGGATTTAGTCTTTTTGTTCCCTGTTATTTATCCAGTGTCCAGGGCAGTGCCTATCACATAGCAGATGCAGTAATTTGTTGAATGAAAATATGCACGTGTGGACATTGTTGTGTGGTGTTAAGTGAACATGCACGTGTGGACATTGCTGGTGTGGCAAGTGAACGCGCATGTGTGATGGCATGTCCTATGCTTCTGTTATCTCAGGGAGGTACAGGTACACTTGGAATGTGCACTGGTGAGTGTGTGTACATATAAACGTGTGGACACGTGGGCTGTGGCTGCATTGCATACTGTACACGATATATATCTGTACTGGCACGTGTGTTATGGTGGGCATGTCTGCATGTATGTGATCTGGAGACATGCCTCATATAGCATGCTGGAAAGTATTGTGGATTTTGATGTATGTGAGCACATGGACATGTGTGTTGGTTCATGTGCACATGGACACGGGCCACATGCATGTGTGCATGTGTGCACGTACTAACACATGAACCCAAGCGTGTGCGAGGGCAGGCTGCACGCACCTGCGGAGGTTGTTGAGCACCATGATATTGGCATACATGTAGTACAGGTAGTAGCTGTAAGGCGGGTTCTGCTCACTGGTCCAGACGTCTGGGCTGGGGCTCTTGTCAGAAAACATGTGGTCACTATGCTTGGACTCATCATCCACGCTGTCAAACCCTGTCACCTGGGCAGGAGGAAAGGTCCTGAGCACCAAGCCAAGGCAGGACCAGGATCAGACTTGGCTCAGCCTCCTGGGGCTCACAGCTGCCAGAGGCCAGGGGGTCTGGGGCCCTCAGGTTCACACCTCAGCTGGGGATCCCATAGCCTGGCTGAGGCCACATTCCTCTGAGGGATGAGGAGTGGGTACAACACCAAAGTCTGCCCCTTTGGGCTTCCAAAGGTACTCTGGACGGGAGATAGGAGAGTGCCAAGCCCCTGTGTGGAGGTGGTGACAGCAGGGGAAACTGCCAGGACAGGTAAAGGGTGAGGCAGCCATGCCCACTGCCCGCCCCTCTGCTGCGCCAAGGCCAGCCTGCAGGGAGCAATGGCCACTGCCATCAGCAGCAGCAACAAGCTATGAAGGTAAAGGGTCCTACTACACATCACGTGTCAGGTCCTGCTCAAAGCACTTCATGCACATCAGTTAATTCATAACTCAGAGCAACCCAGGAGGGACAGATTGGCTGTGGAGCCCCATTTCACAGTTGAGCAAACCTGGGCCAAAGCAATTAAGGAAGTTGCTCAAGAAACCAGGCTCAGCCGGGTGCAGTGGCTCATGCCTGTAATCCCAGCACTTTGGAAGTCTGAGGTGGGTGGATGACAAGGTCAGGAGTTCGAGGCCAGCCCGACCAACATGGTGAAACCCCATCTCTCCAAAAAAAAATACAAAAATTAACTGGGCATGGTGGTGTGTGCCTGTAGTCCCAGTTACTTGGCAGGCTGAGGCAGGTGAATCGCTTGATCCCTGGAGGCAGAGGTTGCAGTGAGCTGAGATCGCACCACTGCATCCCAGACTGGGTGACAGAGCAAGACTCCATCTCAAAAAAAAGAAACCAGGCTCTGGGCACTGAATTTGCACTCTTTGGGGCTGTAGGTGGAGGATACCCTAGGGCATGCCCAGGTGTGGCCAGGAGAATCCAGCCAGATGCCTCACAGAGAAGAGGGTCCTTGCTGGGCTGAGCTGTGGCTCCTGGGAGGCAGCTAGCTCTGCTCTCCAGTCCCCACTGGGAGCTACCCTCTGAGATGGGCTCGAGTAGCCTCAGGAAACTCCCACCCTTCCACTGCAGTTCTACCTCTGCTGGGACCCCTGGGGACCCCTCCAGAGTCACCGGAGACTTCTGGCTGATCCCAGAGGTCATCCCCAACCAAGAACACATGCATGGAGGGCATGGGCTCTTGGCGCATAGGGGAGGCTTGTTACCAGGCCTCTCTCCATCTGCCCAGCCATGGCAGTGCTTTCCAAAGGGGCCTCTGAATATCAGATGGGAGAAAGAGACTCTCCCCCTTAATCCACAACTGGCCCCAACTGGGGGGATACCAGCCCAGGCCCTAGGCCCCAGCAAGGTCTGCCGGCCTCTCTTGTTCCTACAGGGGCAGCAGGGGCCCAGAGGACCAAGGTAGCATGAGGGTCTTGGCCAGAATCTTCCTTGTCACAGAGCCCTATGTGTTGAAGGAAATGACAGAGTCCCTGCTATAACCCTAAGCACGCCGAGGGGTTTGGGGGACCAGGGTAGATCTTGAGCTCTGCTCTGGGCTCACTAGCCCCATACTTCACATGAACTTTCTGGGGCCCTGTGTGGGAATAATTTCAGCCTCTCTCCAGAGCTCTATCTAGCTAAAGCAGGGCCTCACCACTGCATCTCCCATAGCCTCGGGTGCAAAATACATTGTCTCCTCCTACCACTCCTCCTCCTCACACCTACTCTTCCTCCATTGCTGGCAGCAACCTTCGAACAGTGTATCATCCATGCTCCTGCAAAGCCAGGCACCTGTGAGGCATCCTAAGACTCCCCTCTCATGCCTCCTTCAGTCTGTCCAGGTCCTGCCAAGTCTACACCCACCCCTTCTCGCCAAGCCCTGCACTCTGTGCAGAGTCCCTGCACTGCCACAGCTCAGAGCCACAAGCTGCTAGCTGCTGTGTGTCTCCCTGTTCTTACTTGGGAGGCAACACAGAATAGGGGTTCAGGGCACATCTCTGGAGTCAGCCTGCTTGGATACAAATCCAGTTCTGCCACTTTTTAGCTTTATGATCTGTTTTAATTTCCTTGTGTGTCAATTAGAGCTAGCAGCTTCACCGGGCTTTGGTGAGGATTAAATGAGACAGTCCAGGGAAAGCACTTAATGTCGTGTTTAACACACACCAAGCACATAATAATTCTGCTTATTGTTAACAACAAAATGGTGATAGTAATGGGGTAATTGTGAGGCTTCGGTGAGATCACATCGTGGCATCGGGCCAGGCCCGGCAGAAGCACCCACGAGTGAGACCCGTTTCCACTGGGTCAAGCTCCCCTCCTGTCTCCAGGCAGGCTCTGACCCTCACCTATCCCCCACCTCCAGCTACCTTCTCTTCTGGGCCATCTCCACACAACAGCCAGAATACGTTTGTATAAAGTATAAATTCAATGATGTCCCTCAGCTTGTCCAATCACTTTCTGGGCACACAGATTCAATCACTCCCTCCCCTTGCCCCAGCCCTCAGGCTCCCCTCTGTGCCTCTCCCTATAGAAAATCATTCATCACCTCCACCCTCAATTCCAGGCATCCAGAGGAAGAGATTGGCTCCCACCCCCTCCTCCTCCCTCCCTGGTTAAGTCTCTCCTGGACTGCTCTTCTCCTCCTCCTACAACTCACTGAATCTGGAAGGGAAATATGTCTTGGAGGCTTATACTTAATCACACATAGTGTGAGGACCTTTGTTGTTAGGTGAGCAGGTGAATTGAAGTGTCTGCATTTCTAAACAAGACCTGAGGCTGCTGCTTGGTGCTGCTGGGGGCTAGATCCAGCCTTTCGGGCCCCACCTGGCAGGAACTGAGTTCCCGGTCTTTGCCCACTGCTGCCTTCCCCGCTGACGGCAAGGCCTGCCCCACGACCAGGGACACACAGGGCCCCCACCCTTTGAAGGCAGATGCTGGCAGGCATCTGAGAGGCCTTAGCAAGACTGAGGGCTCACTCGCCTTGACCATCCAAGCAAAGTACTCTCCTCCCAGATAGTTCTCAGTTTTCAATCACCACCACCCCCACCCACTGACTCCCAGAGCTGCCCCTGAGGAGAAGGGGACATTTTAGAAATCCAGCTTCTTGGGGCTGGTGACCCCATGCCTGGAACACAGGTGGCAGGACCTGAGATATCGTGGTGAAGGGCGGGAGCAAACCTGACCCAGTCCACAGCGAATCCATTCCCTCCTCTGCCACTATGAGCCCTGCCTGGGTCACCACCCACACTTACATATTTAAGAAAGAGGTGAAGCTCTCGATGATCTTGGGGGTTGATTGTGGCCTTGAAAAGGGGCAGGAAGATGTTCTCCAGCATCTTACCAAAGTTTGGCAGCAGCTTCTTTGACCTAAATATGTCACTGGGGGATAGCAAAGACTGAAGTATCAGGTGGACCCAACAGCCCCCTGCCCTGTGAGAGACCAGCCCCAGTCACTTCCTCAGGCTGCCTGTGTCCCCATTAAACACCCAGAGTCAAGTCAGGTGTGGCCTGAACACAGATTCCTCCTGTCTCCTCCTCCCCCAGCAATGTCTGAAATACTTGGCCTTGCTTTGCAAGCTCCACACCTACCCCTGCCCATCAGAGCACTTTCTCAAGCCAGAAGCTTGGGAGGGGGATGGTGGCATTCTGGCTCACCAAGAGTATGAGATATGAGTGCTCAAATTCCCAGTGACCCAAAAACTCTGTTACTCAACTCTGTTTCTCTAAACCACATAAGCTAGCCATCCTAGAGGCATGGGCCCCACCCTGGCCAGCCACCTGGAGAGGACAGCAGCCATCTGAGTGACATCTAGGGAGAGGGCCAGCAATGTAGACCACTACCAGCTCTTCTCATACTCTGGGGCTCACCAAAAAGACAATCCATCCTCAACCCACAATGAGAAGAAGGCAGGGTGGTAGATCCCCCAAGGACTTTGAACATCTATATTTTTCAAAGATTAAGAGTTCTAGTGTCATGTGGACATCTTTGCTAACCACTCCTTCTATGGAAAAATCCCTGGAGAGGACAAGTCTAAGCTGGTGCCAGATCAGGCCCCATCCCTCAGCAGTGCAGACTTGGCAGCCCACGCGGGACAGATTGTCACCTCCGGAGGGCACAGGGCAGACAGCAGGGCCACCTCACTTACTAGATCCGGGGCACCTGGATGATCCAGCGCATGTTGGGGGAGTAGACCTTGTGCTGGATGAACCAGTGGGCCAGGTTGGGCCATTCCTCGAGACTACGGCCGTAGATGGAGAGCCGTGGCTCTGAGTACTGGTACTTGCTCTCCTCCAGCTCCCGGGCAACCTCCTGGCACAAGAAAACTTGGGTCAAACCCAGAGCATCCCAGCTACATGGGAGACCCTCACTCTCATCACCAGCAGGGTCCTGTGGCTCCCCTAGCCACCTTGCTCTGAGGCTGGAAGCACTGATCTAAATCCCCAGGGCTGACTGCTCCTATAAGCTCTTGTTCCACTTCAGCAGAGGCTCCCTCTGGGGAGGAAGGTCTTCTGCAGAATCAGGCCACAGCAGAAGCATGTCCACGTGGAGCTCATCTGCACCCAGCCAGGTTCAGGCTGCAGAGACAGGAAAGCCAGGCCAGATGCTGTGAGCTCAGACAAGGTGGATACGCTTCCCTCCTCTTCCCTGCAGCCAGGCCACAGCACTGGGTGCCTGGGCACCTCACCCTTGCCTGAGCTGATGGTGGACAGAGGGAGGGGAAGGAGCCAGGGGCACACAGAGCCCCATCCTCTGAAGGCAGATGCTGGCAGGCATCTGAGAGGCCTTAGCGAGACCGAGGGCTCACTCACCTTCACCATCCGAGCAAAGTATTCTCCTCCCAGATAGTTTTCAGTTTTCAAATACAGGTCACGCAGCTCACTGGCCCCCACGGGGTTGTATTTGGAGTTGAACTTGTCAAAGCGATGGAATGTCTGCCGGCCCTGGGGAGGAGACCGCACAATCGACACATCATTCTGCAGCCACCACATACATTCCCCTCTCTAGACCTTTACAAGGCAGCCTTCTGTATGGCCACACCAAAAGACATCTTCTATGTCAATTCTTGTGTGAAACCTCAGAAACTCCTGAGAGCCAGGACCATGGATCCTCACTTAGTCAGTCTGGGATCGTTTGGTGAGGCCCCCTGTGAAGGAACCACAGGGTCCCATCTGCAAGGTACCACAGCAAGTCTCAGCACATGGCTGGCTTAGTGAGCAGAGGCTGGACCACTGAATAACAGAGCATTCCCCATCACGACTCACATTTTGTAAAGCACTTTCTCCACATTATATCACTCAGTGTTTTGATTAACAAAGTGTTTTTGGTTGTTGTTCTAATCATACACAACATTTACCATTTCAACGATTTTTAACTGTACACTTCCAGTGGCATTAAGTATATTCACATTGTTGTGCAACCATCACCACTAACCGTTTCCAGAACTTTTTTATAATCCCAAATAAACTCTATACCCATTAGACACTAATTCCCCATGCCTTCCTCTCTACAGGCCCTGGTAACTTCTATTCTCCTTATGAATGTGCCTATTCTAGGTACCTTCTATCAGCGGAATCACATAGTATTTGTCCTTTTGTGTCTGGCTTCTTCGATTTGGTATAATCTTTTGAAAACTTCATTTGTGGTTGTTGCATGTATCAGTACTTTATTTCTTTCATGGCTGAATAATATTCCATTGTATGGATATACCACATTTTGCTTACCCATTCACCTGCTGATGAACATGGATTGTTTCTACCTTTTGGCCACTGTGAATAATACTGCTATGAACATTGGTATATGAAGTATCTGTTCAAGTTCCTGCTTTCAGTTCTTTGGGGTATATACCTAGAAGTGAATTGCTGAGGCATAGGTAATTCTATACTTAACTTTTTTAGAAACTACTATACTGTTTTCCATAGCAGTTACACAATCATTTAGTGTTTTAATAATTTTTTTAAGTTAATAATGCACATGGCTATCAATATTTTATGGGCAAGGAAATAAAAGCTTCTGTGAGTTGCCTAAAGGCACAAAACTCCTAAGTGGCAGGAGTGGAATTAGTGCTTAGACCTGTCCGGCCCCAAGCTGTACACCCTCTTCTCCTGTCCCATGGCTACGCCAGACCTGTTATTCTGAGGCCACACGACTTCTCAGTTGGCTAGGAGAGAAAGAGCTGCTTCTGCCATGCCTCCCCACAAGCACAATCATGGTGGCTTTCCAGGGAGCTGAGTCCCCAGCCAGGGCTGCTTTCTGCTGGCGGCACTGGAGCAAAAGCTCACTCACCGCGTGGACATCCAGCGAGTCCACAGTGAGGTCGTAGGGGTCCATGTGCAGGCTGTCAAACACCTGCCGCAGGGTGATCTTGCGGCCCCGCTTCTCGGCCACAATCCTGTCGGGCTCTGTCTGGTACGTGTGCTTGATGAAGCGCAGCAGATGCTTTTGGTTCATGCAGGCGGCCGCGTGGATGTGCGTATCCACCTGGAACATAGCGCCCACCAGGCCTTGAGTCAGGCCACCTCCCCTAGCAACAAGAGTTAAGACATCCAACCCTCAGTGTGCACAGAACCCCAGCACCTTGTGGGCCATCGAGGCAGCTATACCAACGTCTATACTCCCCATTTCTCCTCCAGACTTTGGAACTGGCATCCCTCCCTTTCAGCCTGGCTGCCCATTGCGTCTCCTTATAGCACCAGAAAATCTTTTTTAAATGCAGATTGGATCAGCCCACTCCCCAGGTAACAGATGACCTATAGGCCCATCAGCCTCAAGATAAAGCCCAAGCGCCTTGGCCTGGGATTCAAGGCTTACTTCAAGCCTAACTCTCGCCTTGCCACTGCCCCATTCTGTGCTGCAGCCATGACACACCGCTTACAGGAACACAAGACACCAAGGAACCATATACTGTATCACTCTGCCCATGTGTTTCTTCAGTCTGAAATGCCTTCCTTTCTCTCCACCAATCTCATCCACCTAGAAATTTCCCACAACCTCCTCCATTGGGAAGTCAATCTTGTTCCCCCAAGCACAGCTGATCACTTTTTTGCTTGCCCAACCTGGAAGGCTGGCACAGGCATCCCACTGCTGTGTGTGCCCTCCTGATCACTCTAAAGTTTATCTACTCTTTCACTAGACTGGGAGCTTCTCAAGGACAAGGGCCATGTTTGATGCTTCTAAGTCTCCAGCAATTACTCCAGAGCCTAAGACAAAGTCAAACTAATGGATGAATGGATGAACAAATTAACAGGTGCAATAGGTTCTTATGGTTTCAGTGATAACCCTGAGGACCCATCAAATGCCCTAAAAAATCCCACTCTTCCCATTGACCTCTCTCAGAACCCTCAGAGCATTCTCAAAGCAAACCTCCAAGTGGGAATGAATGAGAAGGACAGACACTAGAGGCCAGCCCTCAAAACATACCCTTCCTTGGCTAGTTATACCTCACTCAAACTGTAGGGCACCCAAGTCCCAAGAAGCAGCCACTCTACTGGAAGTTGCTCTACTGACCCTACGCCAACACATGGACTCATTCTGTGGGGACCAAGACCAAAGATCTTAGAGCAAATCCCAAAAAGCAGAAATGCATAGTCCGCTTAGACCTCTCCCCAAATTCCAGGGAAAGGCAGTTTCTTTGCAGAAGGCACCTTAGTAGAAGGAGTCTGGCAAGGTCTCAAAATACCTCATGGGATTTCTCATGTCCTCTATTGTGCTAAGTCCTGTGACACCAGACTGTCCCCTTGCATCTCTGTCCTCTCCTTTTCAGCCTCCTCAATCAGCTCCTCCTCACTACCAGAGCTCTTAATAATGGAATTTCTTGATGCCTGGTCCTGGGCCCTCTTGTCCTCTCACTAGAAATTCTCTCCAAAGGTGATCTGATCCATTTCTGTGCATTTAATTCTTTTCCTTATACCAATTCCTAAATTTATGTCACCAGCCAAAAGCTCCAGAACTGTACATACTACTGCCTCCTTGACATCTCTATCTGAATAACCCAAAGGCAGTTCAATTTTAATATATCCGAAAGTGCTCTCTCCATCTCTGGCCCCAGCCCAAACCTGATTGTCTCCCAGGTTCTGGAATCCCAGGAAGTGGTGTGTCCTGAATCCAGCTGGTCACGCTGAAAACCTGGGAGTCATCCTTGGCCTTCCTACTCCCTTCCCTCAGTCAGTCTCATCAATTCTCCCTTCCAAATGGATCTCAAATCCATACAATATTCTCCAGCCCCACTGCCACCACGGGAGTTCAAGTCTGCATGTTCTCACGCCTGAATTCACAGTGACCTCCTAACTGGTCTTGTTCCTTTTTTGTGTGTGCTCTGGTTCAGTTCATTCTCCACACACAGAAGCTAGAAGTGATTTTTTTTAACGTAATTTGATTTTGTTACTAAACCGTCTTCATTAATCTTAGGTAGAGGGCTCTGCTAATGTTACCTGGATCCCACCCACCTCCCCATCCCCTCATCCCCACTTTCCTTTTTCTCTGTGCTTCACTCACAGGACAGCCACCAGCCCTAAGGAAATGAAGCCCCAGCTAAGCTGAGGGATGGCCTGAAGTCACTGTGGGCAAACTGACTTCCCTCCCTGAGCCCAAGGGGCCTAAGGGAGCTCCTGGGGAGGACGACTGCAGTGTCACAGCCCAGGCTGCTGACAGCCATTAGACCACACTCTAGAGCTACTGCTGCGGCCGACTGGGCGCTCAGCCCAGGCTGGGGTGAGGAGGCGGCTGACCTCAGGGCAGGGAATGCCGTCCACAGCTGGCTGGGCATCTCCAAGTCATGCCAAACCAGACATTTGATCCACTGGACCTCTGTGAGCATTATGCCATCCCGCCTATATTGTTGGCCAGAGCACTCACTCATCAGGGTCCTTCCTGCCATTAATCTTGCCACTCTTACCAGAAAGACAGATCACTGGACACTGGGGAAACAAAACAAAGCAAAACACTAAAACATCCCCAAAGCCCAGGTTCCTCAGAGACAAGGCTGGGCTCGTGTGCGATGCACAAGAGAAGGTCAGACTGGCTCAGCTCAGCTGGACACAGCTTGGTACAACGACCTCAGCATGACTCAGCAGATTCTGGGCTTTCTGGTCCTGTCCTCTAGCTTACCAATGACAACCACAGGGGCCCGGTCAACCTGTCCTTACCCCCATGAGTCACAAGATAAATGAGGAAAACAACTGGACAATCCAGGAAGCACCACATCCAAACTTCAGAATTTCAAGGGTGATTATTTCAGGAACAAAATAATTGAAGGTCACTGGAGGTCAGTGTTTTCGATTCACCAGAGGATCCAATTGCATTCCCCATGTTCACTTAAGATTCAGATCTAAACAAAGAGCAGAGTTTCCAAACCTGAGACCTAAGCCAGCACTGACCATTTCCATACCCACAGCAGGCATCAATAATCGAGGACAGCACTCTTCTCACTAAGCTTTAGGGCTGGCCACTGGTAACTACCCCTAACTGGTCAGGTTTGGCACAGAAGATAAAACCTATTTGCTATTCTTGATATGACACTTAAACCCCAATGGGTATCACCGACTTCTACCCAATTCCCAAGCAGCAAACACACTCAGCCCTTCTATCTTGCTTTTGCATAGAAAATAAGTATCTCGGTCACACAGTTCTGCTGGCTGGGTCTTGGGGTGTCATACAGCCCTTCACCTGCTGCAATGTGACAGGTGCCTTCACAGATGCTACTCACACAGATCTACAGCTGCATCACAGCTCCTGCCTCAGAGCACAGCCCTGGTATCCCCCAGGGACGCCAAAAGCCACTTTAGACATATGGAGGCCACCATCCAGCCAATTCTGGATTTGAGAAAGCAGCTCTCCTTCCCATCAAGGCCAGGCATGGTGGCTCACGCCTGTAATCTCAGCACTTTGGGAGGCCTAGGCAGGCGGATCACCTGAGGCCAGGGGTTCAAGACCAGCCTGGGCAACATGGCAAAACCCCACCTCTACTAAAAATACAAAAATTAGCTGGGCGTGGTGGTGGGCACTCTGCAATCCCAGCTACTCCGGAGGCTGAGGCAGGAGAATTGCTTGAACCCAGGAGGCAGAGATTGCAGTGAGCCAAGATTGTACCACTGCACTCCAGCCTGGGCAACATGAGCAAAACTCCATCTCACAAAAAAAAGAAAAAAAGTGCTATCAAGTAGGCAGCACCCAGGAGGTAGGCACAGGCCTGACTCATAGGAGACCTGCATCCATGCTTATGAACTGACTATGGTGCCTAAGAACAGGCCACTGTGTCATAGGTATAAAGGTCATCTCTGTCCACAGAAAACATTAACCCCAAAACTGCAGGAAAGCCCCAGGGATAGTCTCTGATTTGTAACCCTAGCCCCACGCCAGGACTCTTTCTCATGTTGTGGCCAGAGAGCAGCTGGTAGACCCAGGAACGCCTACTGGGGCCCCACCTTAGAAGCAAACAGTGTCAGTGCCAGTGCAGTCAGCAAGGATACTTTGGCCCCAGGCAGCAGGAAGCAGGCAAGCCCAAAGCATTCACGTATGCACAGGGCAGGGCTGTGCTGGGCTGGGTGAGGCGTTTCGTTGGACGTGGGCTTGGGCATGAGGTAGGCATGTGAGGTTCTTTGGGCAAGGCTGAAAGGAGTTCACATAGTGATGGAGGCATCCACCTGTCTGAATACCTAAGGCTCACAGAGAAGGAACAAATGGTGCTTGAAGGTGAAAATGCCAGGATGCCCACATAAGTGGTATCTAAAACACCTTTCACTTCTGCCTGGAAATCTCTAAGACACTTCCATAAGCCTCTCAGGGCCCATGAGCTGAAGCCAAACTCTTACTTCTTAAAGCTCTTGATCCCATCCAAGTGGGAGTCTGTGTTGGACACCCTGTGTAACAGAGGTGGTCTTAGGGCCTTCATGTAGGGTCTTCCATCTGCACTGCTGAGGGCTCCCAGCCAGGAGGTCAGGGAGGCAGGAGCTGGGCTTTCCCAGAGGAGCCACATCCTCCCCTGGCCTACCCTCCCTTATCAAAGCTGACCTCAAAAAGAGGAAGTCCTCAAGAGGTCCCTGCTGGGACAGAGCCCCTATGGAGATGACAACCCCACTGTGACTCCGCTCAGCTTTCCCATCCCCCTTCTAAACAAAGCCTCATCCCCCTAGGGGTTTCTCTCCCAGCTCATGGCCACACCCCAGCCCACCTCCCTGCCTTCTGTGGGAAACCCACGGCCCCTGTATGATCCAGGGCCTCCCCACGTCTCTGCAACCTCACTCTCCCCACAACCCACTGCTCCCTGCTCCCCATGCCTGAGTTCCAGCCACACTGCACAGCTTGCCGTTACGTCAACACACTGTTCTGACTCTCTCATACCAGTCCCTCCCTCCTGACATTTGCACATCACATGCCTCCACCTGGAATGCCACCACTTCCATTCCCCTACCACACCCTCTGCCTGGCAAGCTCCTACTCACTCTGAGTCAGCTCAGTTTCAGCCTCTCCCTCAAAGCCACCTGGTTGACAGGAAGTGACTCTTGCTCACCATCAAACGCCCCCTGCCTAGCACTGACCCTGTGCCTCACTGCACAGTGCTTCAGCAGAAGAGAATGAAAACCCTAGGGCCATGATCATTTAACCTTCACTCCTACTGCGGCTGCAGCCCCTGCAGGCAGAGAATGCCAGGAGCCCCAGACAAGACTGCCATCCCCTCATTAGGAGAAGAGAGGCAGAGATCTGAGCATATCAGAGGCTTTTCTGAAAATCCACATAATCCCGAAGGATGCAAAACCACAAACTCCCAACTCCAAAGAGATCTTTTTTTTCTTCAGGGAATTTAAATTTTATTTTATTTACTTATTTATTTTGCTTTAAAGTTCCAGGATACATGTGCAGAATGTGCAGGCTTGTTACATAGGTAAACATATGCCATGGTGGTTTGCTGCACCCATCAACCCATCACCTAGGTATTAAGCCCAGCTGGAAGCCATCATCCTCAGCAAACTAACACAGGAACAGAAAACCAAACACAGCATGTTCTCACTCATAAGGGAGCTAAACAATGAGAACACGTTGACACAGGGAGGGTACCAAAGAGATCTTAACAGCTGTGTCTCCTTGATGACTCTAATACATCCCCTACCTTAAAAGTAGGCTGTGCTCAACTTTCATGACCAATTAATAGGCTGTGCCTTATTTTCCAAGGAAGAGGGCACACCCAAACAGATACACAATGTGGACAAAGGTTTCCAGCTAGAGTGATTCAAGTACTCTGTGAAGCCCAGTCTGACACAAACTCAGCTCACCCATCCTCCTTCTGCACCTATCCTTCATGCCCCTCTGGCCACGTAGGCTGCCGTTAACCTGGAGCCCTGCCATTCTCACAGGGGACAAGCCCCAGACTGGCTCAGGGCAACCCATGGGCTGGGAGGGGCACTGGGAGGGACAGCTTGAGCCGGCCCCTAGCGCACCTTTCTCACGTTATAGAAGTCGCGGTGGGGGTTACTCTTCAACTCTTTGAACTCGGACATTTCGTTTAACATCTCATGAAGGCTGAACTTGGATTCCAGAAAGTTCAGTCGTCGGTGACAATAGGTTTTCCTGCAAGTTGGAGATGGGGAGAGACCATAGTTGAGCAGAAGTCACATTGAGCTCTCCAGTTTGGAGGCCTCCAGCATCTGCCGGGGCCAATCCCGGTTGGAAGGGTCGGGATGGAGCAGGGCAGGATGAGGAGGTTCTGGCTTTCTACAGACCCTGCTGAACGGTTGAGTCGCATCCACAGACTCTGTAAAGTCAGTGGAGAGTCAGGAGATGCGGCAGTAGCAGGCCAGCTCTGGGACGTCAGACAGGTGTTTTGACTTCTAGCTTTAGGCATTTAGAGAATTAACCTCAAGCCTCCATTTCCCATGAGTAAATACCAGGTGGTAACAGCCAAGGTTGAAGTTAAGGGTTAAACTGGTTTATGCCTGGAAAAGGGCCCGACTCCAAGCACAGTGGACACTCACTGAAAGTCTCCCTCCTTCATCCCCTCCTTTCCTTCCTCTTTTCTATCCTCAGCCACTTGTCATTCCTTGAAGAAGGAAGTTGTTGCCCGGAGGACTGATAGCACAATCAAACTATAAGGCATGACCTGCCTACCTTGGGATACAGAGAAACCAGCCCCCTGACCTAATGGCCATGGTCCAAGGACGTCTCAACTCTGAGGCTTCATGACAAGAAGAGGATGTTTTGCATCATGGGCGGATTGGGACTATAGGGATATTTGTTACTGAGACAAAATCTTTGCAAGGACTGATGCCCCCAGATTCCCACCAACTCAAGGAAGGGGCCCATGATTTCTCAGCCAGCAAAGGCCACTGGAGATGGGGGTGCTTACTGCTGTGGCCAACCGCCAGCCCACACCCAGCCCAGGTGCCTGGCCACACACCTGCATCCACACCCACATGGAACCTTTGACCACAATTCATGTTTCCCTGCTGCCTCATGACCCCAAAACAAGCAGCAGCTTCCTTGGCATCTAGTCACATAGACTTTCCATAAGAGCATCTGCCGGCGCTGCCACAGCGTAGTCATCCATCTGCCAGACAGACTCCAGCGTGGACAGAGCACAGGACAGCCTCAGAGTCAGAAGGGAGTTTAAAGGCCATCTCACTCAGTCTCTCTTCCCAAGCAGGTTCCTCCTTGACAACCACCCAGATACCCAGATGGGATAGCCACTGCTTGCACTCCTGCTTGAGGACAGCCTCGGAGGAACCACCCCTGCCCTTCCCATGCCTTAGTTCTGCCCTCAGATTGGGGGGACTAAGAGTCACGCTGCCCATCCACCTTGGGCCCACTATGCTCCTTTGGAGACTGGCATCACAGGATTCCCAGAAACCCAGAGAGGTGGTCCTCAGGTGTGACCAGCACTTCCCATCACCCAGACTCCGAGACTCGCAGGGTCCAGGCATGCTGACCTGCATTGCTGATCAGCCTAAGTGCCCACCAAGAAGCGATGGGCCAAATTCAGGAAGACGGCTGCCCGCCAGGTTAGCTGGGGCCAAGCCCATGTGCATGACGGGGTCATGAAGCAAAGTTCCCCAGGCTCTCTGCATGCTCCCCTCCAGAAGCCCAGAAAACCCAAGGCCTGAAGCAATGTCTTCATCACTCCTCACCAAATACACTCATGCTCTGGGCTAGTAGCTCTCTGCAAGGCTGCTATCCTGCCTGGGGAGAGGAATGACAGCCATTCTGGGGCACCCAGGTGGCTACCAGCAAACAGAAGCTCTGCACTATGTATGCAGAAGGGACAGGAAGGCTGGGCACAGTGGCTCAGCCTGTAATCTCAGCACTTTGGGAGGCCAAGGCAGATGGATTGCCTGAGCTCGGGAGTCTGAGACTAGCCTGGCCAACATGGTGAAACCCCTGTCTCTACTAAAAATATAGAAAATTAGCCAGGCATGGTGGTATGTACCTGTAGTCCCAGCTACCCAGGGAAGAGAATCACTTGAACCCAGGAGGCAGAGGATGCAGTGAGCTGAGATCGCACCACTACACCCAGCCTGGGCTACAGAGTGAGATTTTGTCTCAAAAAAAAAATAAAATAAATAACAGGGAGTACCAAGTCTAAGGCTATGCCAACCTATGAAGGAAAACTGTTGCAGAAATCCACAAAGCACTGAGGAAAGGGGAAACCACGCTCTTTCTGGAATGATTTAAGTATAGGGAACCCCAGGGCACAGCGGTGAGGCCTTTCTCATCTCCTTCCTAAAGAACAGCACCTGCGCAAAGAGAAGCGGCTGCGGGAAAGCTGGCTTACGTGGGACCATCAGTGATGAGAGCCAGGATGTGGCTCATGTCCACTGTGTAGGTCTCCAGGTCGGGGTAGGGCAGGCTGTGCGGCTCCTGGCGCTCCAGCATCTTCTTGTTATCATACACAAAGAGGATGCCTCCCTGCATGCGGACCAAGTAATCCAGGTTGGGGGGCGCATCATCCAGGCAGTAAGGGTCTTCCTGGGGCAGTGGGGGAGGGTGGAAGTCTGCAAAACAGGATTGAGGATGGCAAAGTACCCCTGACCTCAAGAGTACACATGGGCTCAAAAGACACGGAGGCCTGCCCTGGCCTTTCTGCCCCAAATCCGACCACCTGCACGGGCCCGCTTCTCACATGTTCTTCCCTGCTTCCTTTTATCTCATCAGCACTTACCACCATGTCAAACCATGTCACTTCATCGTGGATATTATGCCTTCTCCACTCCAATAGAAGCTCTGCGCAGACGACACTTTAATTTGTGCTGTTCACTGCTGAGTGTCTAGAACAGTCCCTGGCACATGCTGGCACTTCAGCAATTTTAAAAAATTTAACTGAAATGGGTTTCATTTTCCAAGGCACTGCAGGGATCCCAGGAATACTAAAAAGGGCAGTGGTAGATGGGAACAGATTGCACCTGGACTGCCCGGTGGCAATAACTGTCCCTGTCTTCCCACATCCTCCTGAGCCCAGGCCAACTGAGGGGCTAGATGAAGAAGCTACCTCCTCCCTAAAGGAGCAAAGGATAGGAAACTTGTCTCCCACAGAGCAGGGAATGCCAATGATAAAGCCATCTGCTCCCCACCACTATAGGTTAAGGTTAGAATTAGCCAACAGGAGGCAGAAAACTCCTCTATGCAATTTCCCTGCTGTGAGACTTTCAGCAAAAAAGTCCTTTACCTCTCGGATCCTGTCTCCTCATCTGAAATAACACCTCCCTGGCTTAACAGGCTGCTGTAAGAGTTGCAATAGTGTGTATAGGAAAATTCCTTATAAATAGTAATGCACTATAAATAATGAATTACGGAGCATTATTCTTACTATTCTCATGAGTTTTCCTGACTCTCGATAAACTCTGTCTCTGGCCAAGGAATGTATCGATGCTAAATATCAGTAGAGCTGGAGGCTTCAGCTCCATGCAGTTCAGCCAGCACCATCGGGATCAGCTGCCAGCATAGGCAGGAGGAAGCTGCCAAGGCGGCATGACCTGCCTGGGCATCCTCCATCCGTGCTTGGAAGGAGTAGACCATTCCTAGAGCACATGTGAGGAGACACAGAGGGGCCAGTGCAGGCAGAGCTGGAGAGGGATGTCTCCTATCAGCCATGGCCACAGGCCAGCTCAAGAGGCCCTAACATGTGCAGTGGTCTACGAGATGCAGGCAGTTCAAGGCCTAGGTGAAGCTGCAGGCTGAATGCTCAGAAGTTGATCCTTTTCACCATACTCATTCCCAGAACACTGGAGTCCTCTGTCCACATAAAGTACACATTTGAGTCATTTCTATCTTTGCCAAAACTGGGATGGTCAGATTCACTTCCCTCAAATAGACAGGAAAATGGGCCCAAAGGGCTGAGATTTACCCAGGGCTCCAGGTGGTAACAAGACGCTCAAAGTAGAGGACTTGAAATTCAAGGAAGCCAGAGACTGGGGCAACTTGGCACCACCAGCTACCCCCAGAGGCAGCCAGGTCTCAGGCACTGATGCAGACCACCAGCATCTGTGTGCCCCCACCACCAACTTTCAGGAGTGGAGTTTCCTACTGTCCTCATTACAGCCTCTACTGCTCCTAGGTCCTTCTTGGGTGAGGCTCCACCAGGAAACCACCTGGCCCTCTCTGATCTCCCCTTCCTGAATTCTACAGCATAAACGTAGCTACTGTTTATTGAACACACACTAGATGCCAGAACTGCACTAAGTACTTCACATGCATTCTCCTGTTTAATCCTCACCACAGCCCTGGGAGATAGGTATTATTTACATTCCCATTTTACAGATCACATTTTACAAAGTGAGGCTTAGAGAAATATCTTTCCCAAAATCCCAAGAAATTGACAGAGCCCAGATACAAATGCAGGCGTTTTTTACACCAAAGCCTACATCCCCTTCCCAGGGAACATGTCCTCTGTTCCTACTCCCACCCTGATCCACCCTACCACCAATTTGGCATTTACTGACTGATTGGTTGTTTTAAATATGCCACATAAGGCCAGGCACAGTGGCTCATGTCTATTATAATCCCAGCACTTTGGGAGGTTGAGACAGAAGGATCACTTTAGTCCAGGAGTTTGAGACCAGCCTGGGCAACATGGTGAGACCCCCATCTCTACAAAAAATAATAACGATTTTTTTAAAAATTAGCTGGATGTGGTGGTGTGTGCCTGTGATCCCAGCTGCTCAAGAGGCTGAGGTGGGAGGATTGCTTGGGCCCAGGAGTTCAAGGCGGCAGTGAGCTGTGATTGCACCACAGCACAACAGCCTGAGTAACAGAGCAAGACCCTATCTCAAAAAAACAATCCCACATGAGACTGTCTGTCTCCCTGGTGGACTCCCAAAAACAGAGACCATCTTTCACTTCTCTCTTAATTTCAACTGTTCAGCTCTGCACAGGGTTAGGCATGTACCCCACATAGAATCAATCCTTGCGGAGAATCATCAAACATCAGTGTGGAAGCTGCCAATGAAAGGGCACTGTCCTTAAAATACCATCGGGGGAAATAGATCGAGCCAGCAAAAAGCCCTGACCAGCTTTCAGTCCACCCACAATTGGGACCCAACCTCCAGCCAGAGCTCCATACCTGGAAGGCCCTCTTCTGGAGATGCAGTATCGGCACGCTGATGGCCCAGGTACTGAGATGTGATCCGTGGGAAGCGGTGGTAGGCGAGCCGTGCATACTTCTCCCGGATCATCAGGGCCTTGGCCAGGCTCTTGGCTGCCTGCTCATAGTCCTCCAAAGTGATCTGCAGAAGGGAGGTATGCAGGAAAGGGTTCACGCAGCAGGCCTGAGACTGCCACCCTTGGAAAGTTCTGCTTGCAAGGATGGCCTTTGCCTGGTGTCTGGGAACCTGGATCTCAGAAGGGTTCTCACCAATCCCTGACTAGTAAGAGTGGCTCACTGGGTCTAACCTGTTTGTACAAACAATATCGTTTATGCTAGACACCTTTCCTTCTGGGAGCCTGGAATTTGGGATGTGCTCTGCAGATGTGTGACCAGCCCTAGTAAAAACCCTGGCACCAAATCTCTAATGAGCTTCCCTCTGGTAAACAACACTTCTCACATGTGCTGCCATAAATCTGATGTTGAGGGTATTCGGTATGTTCCGGTAACTCTGCTGGGAGAGGACCTTGAAAGCTTCACCTAGTATTCTCCATGTATCTCTCTCTTTACTGATTTGTTCTGTATCCTTTCACAGTCATACAGCTGTAACTATAGCTATCTGCTGAATCCTGTGAGTCCTCCTGGTGAATCATCCAACCTGGGAGTGGTCTTGGAAACCCCCAACACAGGAGACACAGGAGGAGTTAGAGTCGCTGGAAGAGAGATGGGTGCTCCAGACTGCACACCCAGAAGCTGGCCTCACATGCAGCTAATTAAACCACAAGTCTCTTTCTGCACCAGGCCCACAAAGGGACAAAGCCCGAGTCCTATCCCTGATGGCGATGCGTACCACCATTTTCAGCTGAGAAAATTCATGGGTTCTTCAGATGTCAAAACGAAAAGCAAAAGCAACTCCTGCATGCTCAGCCTGCTCCTTTGCCAACCCCACACTTCTGATTAAATCTGTTAATCACCCAACTCATCCAGGCAACAAGCCCCATTGTCATGTGTTATGTGCCAGAACTTCCATAGATTTCATTTTGCTCCTTACTGCAACCCATTTTGCAAATGGGAAAACTGAGGCCCAGAGAGGATAAATCACTTGCCAGGAAGCTACAAAGTCAAATTTCAGACTCTAATCTGATTGAGTCCCAAAGTCTAAGGATGTTCTGCTTTCCCAGAGCAGCCTCATATTCAAAGATGAATGAGATACATTCATCAATGGTCTCATTAATCTTAGTCTGTTTGGGAAGGATGAGAACTGCAGAAATGTGCTTAGGGAGACAAGTAGCCAAATAGACACAATGGGGGGTAAGAGGTGCAGCAGAGGGAGGCACTGCATGCTGGTGGAGCCTGGGGCGGGCCTGGGGGGCTGGTGTCTGAAAGTGTCCTCCTCTGCTTTAATTTTGAAACATTTTAAACATAGACAAGCACCAAAAATAATATAAGCTAACTTCTAGAGCTGACAATAATAATATTTAGCATAATTCTTTCAAATTTCTCACAAGTTTAAATAAATAAATCATCCCAGACACAGCTAAAAACTCTACCCTCCTCCCTTCCCTATCTTCAGAGGGAAAAAGTCTGAATATATTTTCCCTATGCATGCTTCATAATTTTACTAATACTACTTCTTTCTTTTTGTTACGGTGGTAGATTCTCCTTTGCTGCCTCCAAATGTCCCCACAGGGTATGTTAATTCCATTTTACACTTTCCAGTGGATGGCTTCTGAGAGCAGCAGGAATAGGTGAGCAGACACAGACATCTTAGACAAAAACGTGTCCCTGCCAACAACAAAGCCAAACACCTTCTCTGGGGAACCGATGGACCCAGCATCACAAGGGGCTCAGGCCACGGCCAAAGACATCTGAGAGGATGCTCAGGACCGTTCAGCTGGTGGTCAGTCCACCTTGACTCTTGCTTTCCAGTGACCTGCCCAGCTGCCTGAGGCTGAGTGAACACCAAAGACTCGTGGTCAGGATGCTGATCTCCAGACAAGGTTTGAATGGTCCCCAATCCAACCTTAACTCCCGTCCATAGGAACTTAATTAAAATAAACTACGACACATCCTCACAAAGGAATACTATGCACATATTTTTTAAAAGAACAAATAAGTTTTTTATATATTGATATGGCATTATCTTTAAGATGTACTGTTAAGTGGAAAATGCAAGATGTAGTATAATGTGTATAGTAAACTACCATCTGTGTAAAAATAACCTATGTATGCATAATTAATTGTAGGTACATAGACCATATATGTGAGAATACATAAGAAACCAAAGCCAATGGTTGCCTCTGAGGAGGAGAATGGGTGCCTGAATAACTGATACCATTTTTGTATCTTTTAAATGTTGTACCATATGCAAGTATTCTCCGTTACGCATAACAAAAAAAATAATAATTTTGATAGCTAGGGGAAAGTTTATAGGAAGAGCAATAAGCTGCATTGCTCTCTTGGATTTACCATATTTTCTACAGCTACTGTTAAAAAGAGAACCTAACAAAGCCAACTGAGGATTAGTAGTGAGTTGGGGCCAGGGAGATGGAGCCAAGTTTAACCCTGGCACTAACTCAGTGATATTTCTCTCCAAGAAGTAGGCATTCAGAAAAATGCATCATCCAATCAGGTTAAATTAGCACATTTTCAATGATTGCATTAACTGACTTGGTGTAAACTAAGCTTGTTCAATTTCTAATCAAGATTCTCTCTTCCTGGTTGAGGAGGTCTAGTTATATTTAAGGGTACTGAGCCCACACATGTAAAAAGAGATGATTTAGCAATAACGAATTTCACACAAACCAGTCAGTACCATTACTTTGAATCTACTAAACATATGGCAACACTGAAAGGCCCAAGCCAGCACCTTTCTCAATGGGCTATGGGAACCTATGCCAGCTTTCTCGACTTAGAGAACCTGTGGAACTTATAAGCCACAGCCAGTGTGCCAGCCTGCAGCCCGGGGCCCTCCTCACAGGGAACCGGCAGCCACTGAGACATCACACCCACACCCCACAACCCCTGCTAGGACCCTCCTTGCCTCCTGTGCGTCCTCTCCACCTTCTCCCAGACACCCACAGACAGGGCCAGGCTCCAGAGGTGGGCACGACCCTGTGGCCCATGGGGCCCCTGGCCTCTGCATGCAAGGCACATCCAATACTCCCACAGACACCTTACCCCGGCACAGTAATCTCCGCTGATGGTGACCCGCTGGAACTCGGGCATGGCATAGGGTGTTGGCGTGGGCTGGTAAGTGGCTCCAGTGAGCACAGGGGTTGTGGGAGACATGGCCGGACTGGTTGTCGGGGGGCCCTTCCAATCTTGCTGTGTCGGCATTTGCAGAGACAGGGACTGGGACCGAATCATCTTGAAACTTTTCTTTCTAAGAGCCAAGGACAAGGAAAAGTGGGAGACATCAGCAGCTACTCAGGGCAAGTGATAAAGACTCTTAGCTGTGTGTGTGGCAGGAGAATTTTGCTATGATTAACCACTGGTGCTGGTGCTGGCACTACCATTAAAAAGCTTCTAGTTATTAATGCCTTCCTCTTACACATGTCTGCATGAGAAAGAACACAGCCCTCGAGACACCCCTGCCTAGGGTCACCATGCACTGCTCAGGGCTGTTACACAGCCCACAGAAGATGAAAGCAGGCAAATGCCCCAGGAAACAGAAAGACAAACGGCAGACCACACTTCAGGGGCTCTAAAACCACAGGGCACTAGAGGGGAGGTAATATGAAATCATGTAAGCTTTCCCCACAGTGTGGACAGCATGCTAGCTTCAGAAAACACAAACTTTAAGTCCCAACATATGAATGGTCTCGGGAAGGACCAGGAATAGGGTCACAGAGAGACAATCACACTGATTTTCACACATTTGGGGCATTAGAGGCAGAAGAGATAGGGATGCTCAATGAGTCCAATCTCCGTTTTACAAAGAAGGAGTGAGAGAGAGCGCTCAGGACCCCCCATGGACTAGCGGCTGCCAGCCAAGCTTACAGGTATCACAGGCCCCATGGTTGGCAGCAGACCTACTGGGTGCCAAGGAGATCTGCAAGATTAGCCTGCTTCTCGCAGACCCTTTCCCATTTCTTGCACAAAGTCACACTGCACGGTGGCTGCTCCAGCCAGCCTCCACCCCTGCTGCTCCCTCCTCTAGCCTGTCGTGTGCCATCCCAGCTGCCGCCGCCGGAGCAAACACAAATCTGTACCTCTGTTGGGGGAAAGGGATTGATCAGCACCAAATTCAGGTCCCTCTGGACCTGTCACCTTGGCACCAAAAGATGATTACACTGACTCTTGGGCCCAAGGTTGGTTTAAAATGCCACAAGCCCATGCTTATTTGCAAGGCTGATTTGTGATTACTCCACCTTCCTCATTAATGAAATAGACATCAGATGATGTCACCACAAATCTCTTCTTCAGGAAGAGAATGGCCCAGCCTTAAGGTGAGGCCATCAGCACTCCCCTCCCACCTCATGTTTCTTTCTGCCTCCAATGGAACCCAGCCTCCCCGTGATGCCACCCCACAGTGTCCAATGCCAGCCACCAACTAACTACCTGCCCTACCTTGTGCCACGGGGGCCCAGTAGTTTCGTGAGTGTTTATTCCACCACAACCACAGCCACCAGCAAGTACTCAGTGACAACTGTGACCCACCAGAGCCCTCCTCTTCTCCAGGCACCAGTGTGACACCTGTAGGCCTGGAGAAATTGGTTGATCCCCAAATGGGTTTCAGGGCTTACCCGGAAGCAGCTGTCTTCCTCTTGGCCAGTGGCCAGGTCTCCTCACTGCCGAGTTTTCAAGAACCACAGTTTTCCTCCTGTGTTTATACACCCAGTGCTTACCATGGTCCTCTGGTTCTCACCTGCCTACCCTCTGTTATCACATCTTTGGGACAAGGCTGTTTTCACCTGTAAGATGGAGGTGGCTCCTTTCCAGGAGTTTACCTTCCCCCTGCTCCTGGCCCTGCAAAGAGACGCACTGGGCTGCTTCAGGAAACTCAACCTGAGCCCAGAGAGCCCTCAGCTTCAGCTTTCCCTGGACTGTCCTCCATCAGATGGTGCTTAGCCAAGCATCCTACTCCAGGGTTGCCACTTTGTCAGTCACTCCTCAGAAGCGGATTCACCTTGAGGATGAGTTCTCCCTTTGGCATCTTTTGGATGTTCTCACCCAGAGGAAGAACCATTACTTTGGGCTCTCTCACACATTCTGACCTCAGCTGGGTCGCATGACATTCTAATATCTGTGTCACTCACATGCCTGCCAGGTAATTGTTTTTATCTCTATGCAACCTCACCCCCAAATGCCTCAGCCAAGGCAGCCTGAGGTCTGGTCCTACCAACAAGAAGCAACAGGTGACATCTAAGGTGAGCAACAACTAAGAAAAGTTTAAAATACACACACACACACACACACACACACACACACACACACACACACGCAACCCAAATGCTGGGAGATTGCCTAAGCCACTGGCCTACCAGGCTGTTCATGTGCTTCTGCCCCAGTGAGGAAGCTAGTTCCCACAAACTGGTGCCCAAAGAATTGTCCTTCTTGGGGATATCCATTATGGCAACAACCTTGGTCTTCAGATGAGCTCCAGATTACCATGTATGAGCATCTGTGGGCCGGCAGCTCAGATTCTGCAGGCACGAGGCATAGGTTTAATCACAGATGGGCTAACTCCTCAGAGCTCACTTACCTTGGGCTTGGAAGAACCAGAAGTCACCCACAGCTTGTATCTCAGGAAACTGGAAAAGTTGTATGGAGCCCAAGGATGACCCTGGATTTGTTTTCTATTGCTGTAGAAAAAATTGCCACAAACTTGATGGCTTAAAATAACAGCCATTTATTAGCTCACAGTTATATAGGTGAGAAGTTTGAGTGGGCTTGGATGGGCTCTATTCTCAGGGTATCAAAAGCCCAAATTCAAGATGTTAGTCATACTGTGCTCTTGTCTGGAGGTTCTGGGAAAGAATTCACTTCCAAGTTTATTCCAGTTGTTGGCAGAATTCAGGTCTAGTGGCCATAAGACTGAAGTCCCAGGCTGTTTCCTGGCTTTGACCAGGAAAGAGGTCAACTCCTACTGACCTCATTCCAATCCTTGCATATAGCCCCTTCATCTCCAAAGCTCGGAGTGGTCATTGTGTTGTGGTGAGTCTGTCCCGCAGACTCTGGCTGAGCGACAGATGAAAGACATATGCTGACACAGGTTTTTGCCTAGAGTGCAGCTAGGGTACCACACAGCTTACAGACCCCAAAGAGGGAGTGTGGCTATGCAGCCCCAATATGCCAGAGACACTCACATTTATTTAGTACAGATTTAATGACAAAGGTCTTGAGCAAACACCATTTGTGGGTAACTAACATTGCCGACCCCCCGAGTAGAGAGCCATCAAGCGTGCGGATGAGCAAAGATTGGTCCTAGGACAACATGAGTAAACAAGCTATTTAGATAAACTCTCTTACATTCCTTTGTATCTACTCTTTGTCTTTGCACCTCAGGGTAAGGACAGCCACCTTCAGCTCATTCCTTCCCAAAGCTTTGCAAAACCCCCCTGCCTTGCAAGAAGGTTTTTACATCTTTCCTTATAATTTTTCCTTCCACCTTGACCAATCTCCTACATCTCCTCTTTTTCTGTTTTTTTTCTTTTGCATTAGGTTTTGTTGACTGAAGAGTATAGACGTTAGCAACAACATGTTTGCTGGGCATGGTGGTTCTAATTCACGCTATGGCTTCGCATCTTAGAATTAGTAAATAACATAAGACAAACATGAGTATAATCAGTAACATTTTTTTCAATCAAGGAGTGACCTGTATTGTTACTTGACACCTTAGTCCAATGTGTGCTATTAAAGAGGGATCCCACAGGGGGTATAATAATCCTTCTTAGCCAAGTAGTTGTGTTGTTAGAGGCTGGGAAGGGGGTGCCTGCCCAAGTATTAGGGCAGATTTAGAAGATGAGCTCAATAGAGTGTAGCAAGTACACATTGCAGGCAAAGTAAGAGAAGAAAAAAGGAACAATTATCTGGCGTGAATGTGTTTGTGCCTGGAGCACAATCTGCTCAGCCTCCTGAGTTGTCTTCTTCGGCATAATGTCTGGAACCTGTGTTGTCCAAAGAAGCTGCATTTTCCGGGGCTGCAGGTCTTGTAGGGTTATTTCCTCTATTTTTGATACCAGCTTAGGTTCTGGCCATGCTATGGTAAGGTTTGATGCAGCATGCTGGAATCCAAAGAGGACTTGAGGGGGTGTGAGCACAAGCATACCCTCTTCCCCATGTTAGCAAATCATTTGGACCATACCATACATTACTATTTACATGTTTCCATAAAACTGTGGGGTTTATGTCTTGAGAGGTTTTAGCAAAGTGGTTTTCTATAGCTGATTGAAATTTATCATTTAAATTTAAGAAATTAAGGGTAGATAAGGCTTGTGCTAGTAGTGATGTCATAACTTGTTGGTCTGCTTGATCATTTCCATAAGCCAGTGGGCCAAGCAGTGAGCTGTGTGCTCAAATACGTGTAATAAAAATAGGATATGTTCATTGATCCAGCAATTGCTGAAGTCAAAGAAAAGGTGCACACAGGGTGGGCTCAAGAGTGGACTTAATGAGGGCTGTCTCAAGGTTCTGCAATAAATAAAGAGTAAGCAGAGTCACTAACAATATTAATGGGCTGAGTGTAAAAGGTTTCCAGGGCCAATACTGGGCTCCAACCTCAGCTCTCTGAGTGCCAGTAAATATAGATCAAGTGAGGGAATTATGTGGCTTCCACCAGAATGGCTTTTCCTTTCTTATCAAAGCCATCAGTAAACAGCATTAAAGAGGTTTGGGGGAGTGAACTACTTTTGTAGGCATAACTACAGGGCTACAAGATAAGAACTGAAGTAGTTTGTCAGCAGGAAGGGCATGCTCTAAATAAATGGCCTGCATAATCAGACAGTGCTATCTGAAGATCTAGAGATAGGGGCAAGACTGTTTTGAATTGCTTTTTATTCAAGGGAATTTTTATGACATCAGGGTCATAACCTAGCAACTGATTGCATCATCTGTGGCCCATATAAATGACTTTACTAACTAGCTGGATATACAGAGATAGTGTTTTAGTCCCAGCATGTAAGCAAAAATCCCATTCTAGGATGCACAGTCCTGGGGCCATCTGTCCTATTAATCCTGTTAGGGAATGGTTAATAGGAAAAATAAATAATTGGAATAAATATCCTGGGTCTATGAGATCTAGCTGCCCCTGATAAATAGCTTGCACTGTTTCCTCAATTTCGTTTTTTGCTGTAGAGCATAAATACCTGAGAGAATCCAGGGCAGCACTGCCTTTAAGACAGAAAACAGGTTTTGCAACTTATCAGTAGCTATACCCAAGGT